TAGGTACTGGCCTCTCCTGATAACATGTCCAAAGTTTGTGAGACACGTCTCTCCATACTGTACTTCTAATGGCTGTACTTCCAACACAGATTTATTTGTTCTTCTAGCCATCCATGGTACTTTTAATGTTCTTCTAATATTATAATAATAATATATGTAAATTTGGCAAATTTATGCTTGTTGTTGTAGTAGGAAGATGTCAAATTTACAGCAGCATTCCTCATGATTTTAAGAAATGATGCTATCCTTTTTTATGCAGCTACCTGCATTTGAGTGTTATGCTTTTTAAAAGTTTGAAGGAAAAAAATCAGGGGAGCTGCTTTCTTGCATTAAGAAGAAAAGGGATGAACCTGCATTGGGAAGGTTTAGAGTTGCTCAGTGTGACTCGATGGTGAGACATTGTGCAATCAGACGAATTTCCTTTTTCCAGGAGTTCTGGTGTGGAGCTGTGGGATAGAGCACTGGACTGTAGCATCGATTTGAACCATAAGGTCAGTGGTTCAAACTCACCAGCTGCTCATTGGAAACCATATGCAGGGTCACTATGAGTTGGAACCAATTTGACAACCCATTCCAACAACAACAACAACTTTTCAGGTTAGAGGGAGGAGTACAGGGTATAGCCCCTCACTTATCACTGGGCAATACGGAAAAGGTATAGAGCTTCTGAGAGAAAATGAAATGCTCAAAGTTGAAACTGGTTCATGGTGTTGCCATGTCTTTAATTTGGCATAGTACTATGAGGTCTGTATTTGCTCGTTCCCAAACTGGGATGTGTGGTTGGCAAAAGGAGGGACAGCTGAAGTAGGTACCATTCGGAAAATTCTGTAACTCATTTTTGAAGGTCCAGAAATTGCTGGCTTTCTTCTGTTTTTATTTATAGTTTGCTTCTCTTTTTAACCAAGGGTGAAATTAGTTGACACTAACCAGGTAATTTGAATTAATACTGTGTGGTTTTTCTTTGGAATAACATGGACTATGGAGAAGTCCAAGAATAGAACATTTTAAAACCCAGATATCACAGAAAAGCTTGTGTTCAAACTAGCCTCATCTTTTGTGGGGAATGGCAGGTAGATGTGGAATGGTAAGGATCTCTGGATGAAGTGACAAAGGTACTCTTTACTCTTGGTTCATATTGGGATACATGGGTAGCCCACTGAACAAAATCTTCATTGAAGAATTAGAGGCTGGAAATATAGTTGGTGGCTAACAAGTTGTGTCCTCAGATAGTCTAGGTCCAAATTTTGTCTCTAGTGTGACTTGGGCTAGTGATAAGATTTTTGCATGCCTATATTAACCCCTACTTGTTGATGCGCTGTGGGTTGATGCGTTGGACTGAAAAGGTAATTTGAATTACAAGGTCGACGGTTCAAGCTTGCCAGCCACTCCTCAGAAATCCTGTACAGGGTCACTATGGGTCGAAACTGACTCGACAGCACTTAACAACAACAAAGGTGAAGGGGGAGTCCGGGTATGGCGCTGTAAGATTAGCACTGGACTGCAAACCACAAGGTTAGCAGTTCAAAGCCACCAGTTGTTTCTCAGAAACCGTATACAGGGTTGATATGAGTAAGAACCTACTTGACGATACTTAACACCCACAATAACAGGTTAAGGGAGGAATGTGGTGACTCCATGGGATAATTATTGGATTATGAACCATAAGTGTGGCAGTTTGAGCCTACCAGCCACCCAAAGGGAAAAGGATGAGGCTTTCTGCTCTTGGAAAAGATTTGAAGCCTGAAAAACCCTATACAGGGGCCCTGTAAATTGAAACTGACTCCCTGGAATTTAACAATAACAACAAACGTTAAGGGAGTAGGAGAAAGATGAAACTTTCTGCTTTGGTGAAGATTTACAAGCCTCAGAAACCCTATTACATGGTAGATATGAGTCAGAACTTAACAACAGCAGCAGCAACAACAAAGGTTAAGAGGGAGTGCTGTGGCGCTATAGGATAAGCTCTGGACTGGGAACAAGGTCAGTAGTTCTAGGCCACCAGCTGCTTTGTGGAAGAAATATGAGGCTTTCTGCTCCTGCAGAGATTTACCGTTTTGGAAACCCTATACAGGGCAGCTATGAATTGGAGCCTACTTAACAGCACACACAACAACAAAGGTTTTGAGTAAGTGTTGGGCTGCTAGCCACAAGGTCAGCGGTTCAAAACTACCATCAGCTTCTCAGAAACCCTATACAGAGTTACTATGAGTGGCACTGTAGGATAATCTCTGGACTGAACAAGGTCAGCAGTTCTAGCCCACCAACTGCTTTGCGGGAGAAAGATGAAGCTTTCTGCTCCTGCAAAGATTGATAGTTTTGGAAACCCTATGCGGGAGAAAGATAAGACGGTCTGCTCCCGTAAAGATTTACAGCCTCGGAAACCCTGTGTAGGGTCGCTATGAGTCAGAACTGACTCCAAGGCACAAAACAACAACAAATACAGGGTAGCTATAAGTCAGAGCCTACTCAACAGCACACAACAATAGTTAAGGGGCCCTGATAGTGCTGTTGGGTAAACGTTGAGTTGCCAACCACAAGGTCGGCAGTTCAAAACCACCAACCGCTGCTCGGGAAGATGAGGCTGTCTACTTTCTTAAAGATTTACAGTCTCAGAAACCCAGTATAAGGTCTCTATGAGTCAGAATTTCCTTGTTGGCAATTAATTTGGTTTTTGATTATAAAGATTAAAGATCCTGGGTGGCACAGTAGGTTAAACAAACCACAAGAGCAGTAGTTCAAACCTACCAGCCCACCAGCTGTTCTAGTAAGAAATATGAGGCTGTTTGCTGTCTGTTTCCCATAAAGAATTACAGCTTTGGAAACCCTATGGGGCATTTCTATTCTTTCCTATAGGGTCACTGTGAGTCAGATTCAACTCGATGGCAGTGGGCATTTCTTCTTTTTAAGCCAGGTTAGAGTCCCTGCTATGTTACTAATAAAAAGGTTAGTGGTTCAAACACACCAGGCACTTTGAAAGGAAGGCCTGGTGATCTGCTTCCGGAGGGTCACAGCAGAGTTTACTCTGTAACCCATAGTGTACCCGGGAGGAGTTGGAGTCAACATCTCCCAAGTGGTGTTTGTTTTTGTGAAGGGAGGTTGGTAATAGTACTGGCCTCAGGGCTGTAGTGAGAATTGTATAAGACACATGTAAAAAACCTCACCATGGTGCTTGTTGTTGTTAAGTGCCATGGAGTCGGTTCCAACTCATAGTGACCCTGTTCCGACTCATAGTGACCCTGCACAGGGTTCCCAAGGCTATAAATCTTTACGGGAGCAGAACGCCTCATGTTTCTCCCACGGAACCGCTGGTAGTTTCGAACTGCTGACCTTGAGGTTCACAGCCCGATTCGTAACCACTACGCTACCAGAGCTAGTGCCCATTAAATAAGTGATGTTGCTGTTAAGTCCCATGGAGTTGGTTGGATTTACAGAGATCCTGTATAGTTTCCAAGGCTGTAAATCTTTGCGGACTCAGAGAGCTTTATTTTTCTCCCGCGGAACAGTTGGTGGGTTTGAACTGCCAACCTTGCGGTTAGCAGTCCAGTGCTTATCCTACAGCGTCACCAGCGCTCTCGAGTGAGTTCTGGTATGGCCTAGTAGGACAAGCACTGGATTGCTAACTGCAAGATGGGCGGTCCAAACCCACGAACCTCGGAAACCCTAGGTAGGGTCACTATGAGTCAGAACCAACCGGTACTCGACAGCACTAAACATTTTGCTTGGAGTCCTTGTGTGGCTCTGTAAACACTTGGCGATTTGTACTTCAAGGCTGCTCTTTCAAACCCTAAACTGGGCCCCTATGAGTCGAACTGACTCAAAGGCACTTAACATTTCACTTGTTGTTAAGTGTCATGGAGTAGATTCCGACCCATAGCGACCCTATATAGCGTTTCCAAGGAGCAGCTAGTGAGCTTGAACTACTAACCTTGTAGTTCAGACGATTTTGCAGTCTGATAGACACCTTTATTGGGTTAGGAAAGGGCGAGTGTTGCAGGGGCTTAAATCTCTAAGCAGAGGAGCTGGAGAAAACTGTGTTTAGCACATTTTGCCAGGGAGAGCACAGTCAGAGGTGTGCAGGGCACTAGAGCCTGTTTTGGGATTCGGGAGCGCAGAATCACATATCTCCACTGTCTCAAATCTGATCCCAGAGGGCTAAACGGCCTTCCAAGTACTCAGTTGATGCTCTCGATGAACGCTGAACAAATATTTAACGACTATTTAGTTTGAGTTAAAGTATTAGCCTGCCCTTGACAATCACTGGCAGGTCAGGTCCGGCGGGCACCACAGCAGATGCCTTGGCGCAACATTGCCGGTTACCCCTGAGGAGCAGTTGCCGCTCGCTGAAAAGGTGACCCAGCCAGCGAGGATGCAGCCAGCCTCGAACCCAAGCGACGACCGCAGGGCTGCGGACGAAGGCTGCTGCGGGGAACTCCCGGGGCGGCGTGAGCAGCCCTCTACATCGAGAGCCCAGGGCACGCTGCTCGCCTGCCTTGAGCAGCGTAGGAACCGGCTGGCACCATCCGCGGGTTAAGTCTTGGGTGAAGGGCGCGCGCATCAGAGATACCGCAGCGCACGCGCAGGTTCGCCCTCGGCACAGGAGAGGGAAGACATGGAAAGTTCCAGAGGGATCCAGAACCCTAGGTAGCAGGCACAACGCCGGGGGCGGTACAGTGCAGCCGTTCCCAGACGAGCCTGCCGCGCTGCCATTAGTCAGCGGAGGGTAAGCAGGGTATACGGGCGAGAGGCCGCCTTGCCCAGCAATGCGGGGATGTAGAGGTAGACAACTGGCCCTAAGGAGCAGCACGGGGCCTGTCCGTGCGGGAGGCGTGGCGTGAAGGGGGCGTGGCGTGAAGGGGGCGTGACGCACCGTCTGCGCAGCTGCCAGCAGCGCCTTTAAGCCCTGGCTCGCTCGGCCAGAGTGCTTTCGCCATCCGGGAGTCTAGTAGTCCAGTAGGCACCCTCTTCTCCGTGCTGCCGGCGCCTTGCACCTCTGCCGTGTCTTGACAATCGGTTCGTTCCGGAGCCGCTCGCCTTACGTTCCGGCATGCCCCGCTACGAGCTGGCTTTGATCCTGAAAGCCATGCAGCGGGTAAGTGACCTTCCCCCTCAGAGCCCGCCTTTCTGTGTGTGTGTTCCCACAGCCGCTAGGCCGCGCGTCCCGGCCGGCGGGACCCCGGGCCTTCTCCCCGCGTGGCTTAAGGGGCTAGCGAGTAGCGTGCGCTGGGCGCGGGAGGTGGAGGGTGTGCCTCGCACGCGGCCCTGGGCGGGGGGCGGGGCGGCCCAGGTCCTTGTCCCAGCCCGGCTACGGGCTCCAGGAAGGTCCGCGGGAAGACACGCGCGACCGCCCAGCCCGCCTCCGGCTCCGGCCCCGCGCCCGCCTTCATGAAGCCACCTCGTCGCCGGCCCCGCCGCCCGCTGCGTCCCCACTCCGCCGCCGCCCGCCACCGCTGCTCGCGTCCGCCTGCCTTCCGGGAACGGCCCGCGCTCAATAAAATCGTCCTTCAAAGCATGTGTGTGGCGTTGTCTGTACCACGGTGGTTCCTAACCGTTCTCACGTTAAACCTTCTTTGACTTCTCTTTTTCTGACTTCAGCGACAGCCTTGCTCCGGGTGCCCTTAGCCCAGGTTCATTCATCCGCGTTGTGTGGCCTTACTTGCGCCTTCGGAAGAAACGTGTGCCTCTCCCCACCTCCCCTGCTTTTGAGTGCTCTTGAGGTAGGGATTTCAGGTTTGGAGGGACAGTAAGCGGACCTGCAGCCCGTTCCTGGCAGGTGATGGTGTGGCCGAGGACAGGGACCCCCGCGCGGCCTGGAGGCAGCTCTTCGTCGTCCTCTGTTCTGGGTCTGGTGGTCCGCCAAGCCGTCGTCGCCGAATCCCCATTCCTCCCTGAATTTGGTAATGTAGATCGTGGTGGATGCCCTTTATTATTTTTTTTCAGGTATAATAAGTGACCACGTCTGAGCTTTGTAAGCATACCTTCTGCAGTGCTAGAGTCATGGACACGTTTTATAAATGATATGAATTGGGGTTTAAGCCAGTTTTGAAGAGTAGCTATTACATAAAGTTTGGTTGAACTTAACATTTAGGATCGTGGTCCAGGTTCCACTGGGGGGAAACAGGTAACAATTACACAGCATTAGGAAATTGAAGGAAAGGTCTTCATTGGTACCTTGCCCAGTATCAACCAGCACCTTTTGATTCGGTCCAGAGAATCTGACTAGTCTTTCTCTTTCCTGAAGTTAAAATGGTATTGTTTAGCATTTTCAGTGTTCCAGCTCTCCAGGGCCTCAGCACGATAGACCTGCAATAGGTTAAGAACACAGACATGAAGAGCATCTTATAAGAACACAAGTGAAATGACTTACGCCCTCCCCTATGCTTTTAAGAGAAGGAGCTCTGGTAGCATAGTGATTACAAATTGGGCTGCGAACCTTAAGGTCTTAAGGTCAGCAGTTCGAGACTTCCAGCTGCTCCGCGGGAGAAAGATGAGGCTTTCTGCTCCCGTAAAGATTTACAGCCTTGGAAACCCTGTACAAGGTCGCTATGGGTCGGAACTGACTCCACGGCACTTAACAACATGCTTTTAAGGGAGATGCTATAGAACCTGATTTGGTTATCATTTTTACCTCCTTCATTGTCTTAGGAAGGAGGGGATTACTAAGTACCTTGTTAAGTGCAGTGAAGTCGGTTCCAACTCAGAGCAAGTCTGTATTGGGGTTCCAAGGCGCATACACTGTTTATTTTTCTTATTGTAAAAATATGAGTGGACTTTAAAAAGGTAGTGAAAAATTCCATTGTCTTTTAACTCTTTTTTAATGAGTTTTTTGAAGCATATATACATACATACATACATACACACACACAAATATGTAACAATTGCTGATTCAACTTAGTAACACTTGAAATGTAAATGCTTTGTTATTTGTTTTTGGCATAGCTAGCCAGTACATTGATTAGAATGGCTGTAAGTATATTGTTTAAATGTATTTGCCATACTTTTTGTATCCTGCTAAGAACTAGAACTCATAGTCTGGGTGCAGCATGTATTTTTTCACTTCAGTTTGGTTAAAATAATAACCTTCCTTGAAATCCTGGCAGGAGGCAGGGGAAGAAAATCTTAGAAAGCTCATAATCAAGGTGAGCTCCTCCCAGGGAAGAGGAGACTGCCTATGGCTAAGTTATGCTGAGATCCTTGACCTAAATAAGATGGAGCAATCAAAGAAACAAAAACAAACCTCGCTTTTTGTTCAAAACTTATCTTTGAGGATGTTGTAAATGTGTAGCAAATACATAGACTTATTGGTTTTGGACAAATTTGCTTGCTTTCAGTGTAGGAAAATTGGGCTCTAAAATAGGCTAAGTGTGGAAAAGTAAATGAAAAAGCTAACCTTGTATTTATTTAATTTAAAATGCCGTGGTGAGCTTACCCTTGGGGAAACCTCTGTTTACCACTGCTGTAGGAAGGCTATTATGCCTCAGTTTCATAATGCATATTTTGAAGACTTAAATTCTGAACACTGTATGATTTATTATAGTTTGCCTCTAATGTAGCGGATTATTTCTTCCCACCCACCAAATGATTTTTGCTTGGGAATTGAGGAAATCTGTATTTTAAAAGAGAATTCTTGATATCAGACATTGAAGTTAAGAACCTGAAGTACTTCCAGTTGTTTCTGTGGTACTCTGTAGGCCTGAACAGCAGTCCTGGTCTTATATCCTACATTATTTTCTTTGACTCTTACTTTGCCCTGGTAGCACAGTGGTTAACTGTTAACTGAAAAGTTGGTGGTTGGAACCTATCAGCTACTCTGCTGGAGAAAGATGTGACCGTCTGCTGCTATAAAGATTAAAGCCTTGGAAACCCTATGAGGCAATTTTACTGTGCCCTGTACAATGGCTCTGAGTCAGAATTGTCTTGATAGCAATGGGTTTGCTTCCTCAAAACTGAGCATATAAATTTAATTAAAAAACTAAAAGTGCGATATTGTGTTGAGGCTCCCAGAGCATCTCTTGTTTTGGAGATACTGTAGCAAAATTGTTTTCTGAGAGTCCACACTGAAAGTCAGGTTTTGGGGCATATTATACCAAATGAGTCCCTATTGAACTAACCATAGTTATGTGTAAATCAGTCACTTAGAAGATCCAATGCTATCTGTTTTATCAGTTTAAAATTGGGAGTTCCCTAACCCACTGATGATATGTCTGCTGTTAGTGCACTTCCACGGTGTTCTCCCAAGAAGAAATTGATCTAACTTGAATTTTATCTCTGTATTTTAAGCTCTTCATTTCTATTTTCTTCCTACTGTTAATTTAGCATGGAAAGTAGGTAAAGTGTGGTTGTATTCTGAACTATAGACAAGTAATACAAGCTTTGAAACGTAGCCTTTAAAGGTGGTGACTAGAGCCATTTGAAAAAGAGGATGCCATTGTGGTTGTAAGACCAGACCATATTTGTAGAAGAGTCTCCAGAATAAGAAAAATCAAAGTTCTGCCTGATCAGATAGCTTTGGAAGAGTTATATTCACTCCTGGAAAACAGTATTCAAACAATTGTGGAAGGACCACTGGCTGCAGTCTTATGCGGCCAGGCAAGTCTCATCTCAATGTGAGGAAGACCTTATATAACAACTGGAAAGGAAATGGATTGCCTGTGAGATGGTGAGTTCTCTCTCCACCTCTACCCTGTGCCCCAGCTGTGGAAATGTTCAGGTATAGGAGAGGTAGCTTATTTTGAAAATTAGATTTTAAGAAAGGCAGAAGAATTGAATGACTGGTGTAATTGTGTAGAAAAGCCTTCAAAAAGTGGTATAAACTTTGTTGACTCTTGGGAAGGCTATAGGAAGAGAAATTTTGAGGAGGAAAAAACACCCCAAACTCTACTACATTTCTGTTTGGTAACTTAATTTAGGGACAGTTTAATTATGTTTTATTCCATTTGCCCAGACAATGACCATAGTTGACATTTAGAGTTGTGAAAGTCGTGGGGGAAAAAACCATGTTGTGAAATTTTTATTTCAGGAATTCTTACTTGAAAAATTTGATTATTGGTATAAATAACAGCTAACTTAATGAATACATGAGTACACAGTAAAATAGCATTTATATGCTCTGTCATATTTTTCACTAACAGAGATAAAGGAAAAGATAGCTCCTTTGGGGATCTGAAATAATTTCTCTTTTTAAAAGATTTGTAAGTTGGCTACTATGTTTAATAGCCACATTTAATTTTTAATTTTGTTGAAAAATTGATTATATTTAAAAATAACACGAGTTCTTAGTAGGTAAGGAGTTATATACTGTGTGCTGAGTTTAATTTATAAACCTGGGATTTATAATTTTAGAGCTCGCAAAAACAGTGGTAATTAGTTCATAAAAAGTAAAAATCAGATTTTCTCATTGCGGAGAAAACGTTTTCTTTATTCAAGCCCATTTGATTAGAAAACTTGTTAAAAGTTTTGTGATTATTCTACAGTTGTATCCACATCAGACTTTTCTGAGCCCTGGTGTGGTGCTGTGGATTAAATGTGCTGGACTGCAAAGTCATTTGAGCTACTAAGGACAGTGGCTTAAACACACCAGCCGCTCCTTGGAACCCCTATACAGGGTCACTATAGGTCAGAACTGACTTGATGGCACATAACAACAATCTATAAGAGTTTGCATTTTTTAGCCCTTTTGGGAAGACTAGGGTGGCAATGAACTCATCATGGGACCGGCCACCGCACGTCATTGTTGCTTTCTTGGCAGCTTTTGATAACTAGGAAATAGTGACATTTCAGCTCTCAGGTGGTGGGAGATATTAATGAAAATGGAAACGGCTTTGTTCTTGCTGTCAGAAGACAGTTTAAAGTAGGTTATTTAGTGGTGAAAGGCTTTGACTCTTGTGGACTACTGTATTTTTATTTGGTATTAAAGTTTTCTTGGGTTACAGCTTATTTCCACAGAAAGTGATTGAAGAAGGAATCCTGTTCTGCCCCTGAGCTACAGCTAAAGTACAAGGAGTGGCTTGGGGGTAAGGAGTCCTTCCTCATCAAATATGGTTTGTATGGATGAAGATGCTTGTCAGGAGTTGATATTCTGCATTAATTTTA